ACCAATACACACTCTGACTGTAACATGGTACACCAATACACATTCTGACTGTAACATGGTACAATAATACACACTCTGACTGTAACATGGTACACCAATACACACTCTGACTGTAACTTGGTACACCAATACACACTCTGACTGTAACATGGTATACCAATACACACTCTGACTGTTACATGGTACACCAATACACACTCTGCCTGTAACACGGTACACCAATACACACTCTGCCTGTAACATGGTACACCAATACACAATCTGACTGTAACATGGTACACCAATCCACACTCTGACTGTAACATGGTACACCAATACATACTCTGCCTGTAACATGGTACACCAATACACACTCTGAATGTAACATGGTACTCCAATATACACTCTGACTGTAACATGGTACACCAATACACAATCTGACTGTAACATGGTACACCAATACACCCTCTGCCTGTAACATGGTACACCAATACACACTCAGCCTGTAACATGGTACACCTATACACACTCTGACTGTAACCTGGTACACCAATACACAATCTGACTGTAACATGGTACACCAATCCACACTCTGACTGTAACATGGTACACCAATACACCCTCTGACTGTAACATGGTACACCAATACACAATCTGACTGTACCATGGTACACCAATACACACTCTGACTGTAACATGGAACACCAATACACACTCTGACTGTAACATGGTACTCCAATACACACTCTGCCTGTAACATTGTACACCAATACACACTCTGACTGTAACATGGTACAACAATACACACTCTGACTGTAACATGGTACACCAACACACACTCTGCCTGTAACATGGTACACCAATACACATTCTGACTGCAACATGGTACACCAATACACACTCTGACTGTAACTTGGTACACCAATACACACTCTGACTGTAACATGGTCCACCAATACACACTCTGACTGTAACATGGTACAATAATACACACTCTGACTGTAACGTGGTACACCAATACACACTCTGACTGTAACATGGTCCACCAATACACACTCTGACTGTAACATGGTACAACAATACACATTCTGACTGTAACATGGTACAATAATACACACTCTGACTGTAATGACTGTAACATGGTACACCAATACACATTCTGACTGCAACATGGTACACCAATACACACTCTGACTGTAAGATGGTACACCAATACACATTCTGACTGTAACATGGTACACCAATACACACTCTGTAACATGGTACAATAATACACACTCTGACTGTAACGTGGTACACCAATACACACTCTGACTGTAACATGGTATACCAATACACACTCTGACTGTTACATGGTACACCAATACACACTCTGACTGTAACAATACACACTCTGACTGTAACATGGTACACCAATCCACACTCTGACTGTAACATGGTACACCAATACATACTCTGCCTGTAACATGGTACACCAATACACACTCAGCCTGTAACATGGTACACCTATACACACTCTGACTGTAACCTGGTACACCAATACACAATCTGACTGTAACATGGTACACCAATACACACTCTGCCTGTAACATCGTACACCAATACACACTCTGCCTGTAACATGGTACAACAATACACACTCTGCCTGTAACATGGTACACCTATACACACTCTGACTCTAGCCTGACTTGTTACTGATGAGGAGGTTTTCTGTAGGAGTATCACGTAGCCAGACAGTAGCTCTATTGTCAGTTGTTGACTAGTTAACACCGTAGATATGTAACTGGTTGACATGGGTTACTAACTATTAATAGTACCTTCTACACTTTATCTCGTTTGATATTCATATTTTTGCATTCACTTAAAATTAAACTAAAACATGACTCACTGATTGCACTATTTGCCTATAGCAATTTTAGAACTAATGTTTGAGGGGATTTTGTAAAATGTTCAAACAGTAGAATTAGCTATATTGAGCCTGCATAGAGTAGTAGGAAGACTATTTATTGTGAAAACAGTAGTTTCTGTTGGAATAAGACTAGTAGATTGAGTTTAGTTCCAGGTAGACTAAAATGAAAATCAATTTAAATTGTATGAAGAATAAATCTAAGTTATTCAGGAGTTTTAAATTCCATTTCCATTAAATATGCGTTATCATTTTAATTGACTGAAAATTCAACTGACATAACTCTCAGTCATGGTTTTTGATTAGTCAATATCCTATATCTTTGTAACAGAACCAGCCAATGGGAACTTCACAATGGAAGCCCCGCCCCCTACAACGTTCAGTCCCACCACAAGCAAATCCAAGAACGTGATTGATCCCGATATAAGCGATATCAATGTTGATAAGCCGGAGATTGATGTGGGTAAGATATCTTTCATGAAGACAGATGGAACCGGATGTTTGTGCTCAGCCTCGGGTCTAATTACAAAACACTCGGTCCTTTCCCCATACTTTCGTATGGATTAAACTTTAACAGAACCCGTTTAGTGATAAATGTGTGCAAGTTAAAACTCTTACATAAGAAAACCTTTTGAAGTCGAATGTTGCTTGTTACTTGTTGAAAATTTTAGAAATCACCAGAACAGACCATCACATTACCTAACAGTCAATATAATCACTCACTAATGCCAACTAATGTCCGACTTTCACGATTCGTAATCATCATTCATTTCACTTAAAAACTCTTGATTCTCCTATATGAGCTTGATTTCTAAGTATGACAAATTAATATCACCACATCTGTGAGGTTAATGTTGCATGTATAGAATCTATAGCTCTGCAATATAGATATAGCTGACCTGTGCTATATCATAACTATGCTAGTCATAGAGGTCAGCCTTGGTAGGCACAATCATTTCAAACCCTGTATAGTGTGGAAAATATTGAGATCTTTTTTATATATTGATGATGATAATAGTCTCTCTTGGAGAAAATTTGAAAATGCCATAAAATTAATAAAGATATTAAAATAAAACAGATTATTTTGTATCATTAAAATGGTTTCTTTCTTTTAACATTTAAAAAAAAAATAAAAAAAATTAAAATTTCATTTCTAACATTTGTAGGTACAGATAGGAATGATAATAATGATCAGCCAGAAACCAAGGAAACAGCTACGATGAAAGACGACCACATTGGAATTATCATCGGCGCTTTGGGTGGTCTCCTCCTTGTCTTCTTTGTTGTTCTTATCACTTTCATTATCCGCCATAAGAGGATGAAGCAGAACAACAATCGTCGCAGCTTGAAACCGGTTGTCGACCGACATATTGCTGTCAATCTTAGTGATCTCCAAGGCAACACCAATGGCAAGCTCTCCAATGGTAACGTCTACAATAGCGTAGCCACTGACGAAATGGATGTCGATCGAGAAATCTGCAATGGAGGTGAAAAATTATGTAAGAGTCCAACTCCTTCGTGTCCATACTCGGATCCAAAAGATTCAATTCAAGGGAGAGAACTCCCTGACTTCCCAAGTTCATCTGAAGGAACAGGTATACATTGGTCTAATCTTACTACCAGAGCATGTGAAGGGTGCCATGTGGATTCGCCTGAACAGCCTGATACTGCTTCCATGATATTATGGGATATAATGCCTGCCCCTACCAAATATACTGCCTTCAACTGCTCTCTAAACCAATGTCTAAATCTTAAATCAGAACTTCTCCATTTACCCATGAAGGGGATAATAGACGGTTTATTATTTATTTATTTATTTTTTTATTTTTTTATTAATTTCCTCATTAAAAAAGCTTTAATAAACCGCTCAGGGGGGTCTTCCCTAAAAAATAAAATGCTGTTAAATCTCATGAACTACAAGACATCTTATAAATCATTGATTGTTTCTCATTTTAAATCCTGAACATAATTTTAGTTTGATATTGAGATATTTCACCTTGATTACTGAAAGTTCACCACCTGATGACACCTGTCTACCACAACAGGGTAACCATAGCCTTCACAATTCTCTTCAAGTCCCTACAAGATCAAAGACAAACTTGTAACAAATTGTTACATTATCATTTCAATAAATTTCCATAGAATAGAAATTAGGTATATCTGGTGTTGTGGAGCATGTTTGCTACTCCATTCAGAAAGTTCCTCCCACTAAACTTCTATGAGAAGAACAGTGTGAGGTGTTCTGAATGGTTTGTTGCAGAAAACCCCTGTCTATGTATCTGATATATCTCTGTAGGCTATTCCTCAGAGGTGATTGGAAACCCATGTAAGACAGACATGTGTACCTGAATATTGTAGTATTCCCTTATGAGGATGTACCAATGTACCATTGGTCATCCTTACCAATACTGATTCCTACCTAGAACTCTGTGAATGGGTGAGCTCCAGGAATGGGGTATCTGCTTGGCTTGTAGTTTATCTGCTTTAAACTTGTTGTTGTAAGCTGTTTGTGATGGAATGGATGTGTACAAGAATGATGATAGTTCCTCAGATGTCGCGTGTCCTTCTATTATCTCCCTTTGATCATGGAATTTTTGTGTTGTTCTTTGTCTACAGGTCCCCTGATGCCCAGTTTAGCTTACAGATCATGTCTTATATCTTACAGAAAAATCTTTGAGGGTAAAACATGATTTGTAAAATGGTCACAACACAATAAAATATAATAGAGAAAATATATGGTCAGAAATCTGAAAAATAATATGTTAGGTTGCATGTAGATCAGGTTGAAGGCAGGGGTCAAATATTGACAGGTTACAGATGAGACCAATGTATACTTGCCCCCACCCCCCACTCACATACACATCCTCTCACCCCTTCATAATGGAATGTTCCTAATACTTGTAATTCCTGTAATATCAGCCCAGAGTCTCCGTGAATTTTCTACCTTGTACTTTGGAATGATTTTTGGATGACAGATTGACTCCTTTCCTTATTATTTTCCTGTTTACATACTTCTCCCACCTCTGTGAATGCACAAACACAAGTCCCATGTTGGACACCCATGTGGAATAAGTCTATGCCACAAGTCCAATGTTGGACACCCAAGTGAAATAAGTCTACACTAGCTGGTGACCCCCCGGTTCAGGAACTACACTTTTCTGAATCCTAAATGAATAAAAAGGTGCATATTATACATGATATATTTATTAAAACAAACTTGCTGCAAATCTTTTGCATACTGCTTTAATTTTTAAATTATATCTCTGGTCAACTATGCTTTTTTCTGTTTTTCTTGGTTAATTTATGAATTATCTAGAAAAGTCTACTTAACTTATTGTTCCTTTCACAATGTCAGTGCGAGTTTTTATAAACCTCCTGACAAAGAGGTCGGACAGTCTATAACTATGTAGGTATAGGAAATTATCAGTTTACCTTAGGGTGTAATATGTCCATACAAACTTACCAGGTATATGGTTGTGGTTTTTCAATGAGAAAAAACAGCAAATCTGGAAAATAAATAATGCTTGATGAAGAAAAATGTGCATTTGTAATTCTAATGCATTTTGTAAATGTAGCTTGTTTTTTTTTAATTTCTTTTGCCATTACGATTAGAATGTTCTTAAGTAAAATACATGTATATCTATTTGTATTACTGTAGTATATCATTATAACATCTTTCTCTTGGAAATGGTGTTTACATAAAACTTCAAGTTTCTCATGATATTTGGTTTATACATGATTAATTTGTCTTTGATAGGACTGAGGAAATTAAAACAATACTGTATTCATGGTTGAAGGAAAAGCATGATTCTTCATTACACATTAAACATTCATGTCAAAATAATAAGTTTCATTTTTTCTGTATTTTTACTCTCAAAATTTCTTCAACTTGATTTTGAAAAACATAATTTCTTGAATTCTTATACATTTTGAAAAACAATAAAAATGAAATGTTTTCAATATTTCCTTAGATTCACGTGACTATGCTGTGCCTGATGTGACAAAATCTGCTCTGGTGGTAGCCCTTCCTCCACAGCCCCCTCAACCTCCCCTGAGGGGCAATGCAACCCCCAAATCTGCTGGGGGCACACCCTCACTGATGACCAACTCTCTGGACAAGCCCCCGACCTATGACGCCCTGTATGCGGCAGCCGACGTCATCAACAACATGCAGGTGCCTAACATCCCGAGTCTACAGGGGGTTAGTGGCAACAATGTATACGCTGTACCCAATGCTGAACTGCTGCTCTCGCTCGAACACTCCGTCATGCAGTTCCCCCGTGACAGCCTCCAGTTCATCGAAGTGCTCGGTGAGGGCCAGTTTGGTGAGGTAAGTCTGGTACTTTAACAACTATTTTCAGGGATGTTTTTCAAATGTTCTTCTTTATAAAGTTGATATATAGTTGATATATAGCTGATGTATAGTTGATATATAGTTGATATAAAGTTGATATATAGTTGATATATAGTTAATATAAAGTTGATATATAGTGGACATATAGTGGATATAAAGTTGATATATAATATAGCTGATATAAAGTTGATATATAGTGGATATAAAGTTGATATATAGTTGATATAAAGTTGATTTATGACTGATATATAGTTGATATATAGTTGATATATAGCTGATATAAAGTTGATATATAGTTGATATATAGCTGATATATAGCTGTTATATAGTTGATATAAAATTGATATATACCTGATATATAGCTGATATATAGTTGATATATAGTTGATATAAAGTTGATATATACCTGATATAAAGTTGATATATAGCTTAGCTGATGTATAGTTGATATTATATAGCTGATATTTAGTTGATATATAGCTGATATATAGCTGATATAAAGTTATAAAGTTGATATATAGCTGATATTTAGTTGATATATAGCTGATATATAGCTGATATAAAGTTATAAAGCTGATATATAGCTGATATATAGTTGATATAAAGTTGATATATAGCTGATAAAAAGTTATATAGTTGATATAAAGCTGATATAAAGTTATAAAGTTGATATATAGCTGATATATATCTGATATATAGCTGATATATAGTTGATATATAGTTGATATATAGCTGACATAAAGTTATAAAGTTGATATATAGCTGATATATAGCTGATATAAAGTTATAAAGTTGATATATAGCTGATATATAGCTGATATAAAGTTATAAAGTTGATATATAGCTGATATAATTTGTTCTGTACTGTTGAATCAGGTTAACCTAATAATTCTGGTTTCCAAAATAAACTTCAGATTAAGTTGTTAGTTAGTGAATCAGGATTTAAATATAGTGAATGTTTCTCATTTGTCAGCACATAGATAAGTCCATAGTTTCAACAGTCATTTTAGATAAAGTATTAACCACTCGGATAAAGTTTAAACAGTCATTTTAGATAAAGTATTAACCACTCTTATGAAGGAATAGCTCCCTTATATAAGTAAACCTATGTAATTCTTACCATTTCAGGTTCACCTTTGTGAGGCCATCAATTGTGGTGAGTTTATTAACGACGAATATTTTGGAAACCGGACAAGTTCTCGCCCAGTGCTAGTGGCAGTGAAGATGCTGAGGAGGAATGCGGATGACCGAGCTAGGTAACTACAACACCGACTGCACTTCAATGCCCATAGTTCTAGTATAGAAGATCTTTATTCTCCTGTGTGATCGTCATCTTATGTGGGACAGATTTTTTTTTACATAACAGTACATGGAGAATGAAATTACACCTCAGTGGAAAAAGCTGAATTTGATCAGAAAAGCATCATTTAATTTTGTATAGCTTTGAAACCCTTCTAACTTGCAACCTAATTTCTTGAGGAAAGATACAAGTTTAAATTGCTGTTTGTCATACAGGTCTGACTTCCATAAGGAGATCAAGATCATGTCTCAACTGAGGGACCCGAACATCGTGCGCGTGCTGGGTGTGTGTACCCACGAGGAGCCCCTGTGTATGATCGTGGAGTACATGAAGTATGGAGACCTCAACCAGTTCTTGCTTGACCATGTACCAGAGAGCCCAGTCGCTCAGGCAACCAACGCCAAGACTTTGAGGTAACTACACTGGTCTTACTTCATTTGTTGAAGTATTTGGCATTTCACATTAATGTTAACATCAGGTCCATTTGTAACCCAACAGACAGGCTACCTCTCTTAGACTGGACAGGTGTATCCGCACTTTTACCGGTGTGAGATTTCCTTGTCTCACCCTAGGGTTGAGACGGGGATATTCCCCTATTCATAACAATTAATGGTATGACACTTTTACCGGTGTGAGATGACGTCACGTCAACAATACAATGACGTCACGTCAACAATCCATCAACGTCACGTCAAACCTGAATTTAGCATCCAACGTTATCATTACATTGTGTATATGATACACATTGGGAGAACAGGGTAAGAGAAAAAGAATCATTCACCCCCTTGTGGGTAAGATAGGGGAATCTCAAACCTCGGGGAAAGATTCTTAAGTTGCCAAACATAAGAATATTCACCCTCGGATTGAGATTACCAAGGGGGTGAGAGATTCTATTACTCTCTAACAAGTAGGGTGAGATGAAAGTCCAGTTACTAAAAATATGTGATAGAACTATTCTTGTATTTACTATTTGTATTATATATTTTGCATGAAAATTTTTGATTAATTACATTATTTCCGTCTCTCTGTAGCTACGGATGTTTGATATACATGGCCTCTCAGATTGCTTCTGGAATGAAATACTTGGAATCCCTTAACATGGTTCACCGTGACCTGGCCACACGCAACTGTTTGGTTGGGACGAACTTCACCATTAAGATTTCTGACTTTGGTATGAGTCGTAGCCTGTACAGTGCAGATTACTACCGGATAGAGGGCCGCGCAGTCCTACCAATCAGATGGATGGCATGGGAAAGTATCCTCCTGGTATGTAGCTCAAAACCACCCATAGAGTAGCCTCCTGGTATGTAGCTCAAAACCACCCACCACCCATAAAGTATCCTCCTGGTATGTAGCTCAAAACCACCCATAGAGTAGCCTCCTGGTATGTAGCTCAAAACCACCCACCACCCATAAAGTATCCTCCTGGTATGTAGCTCAAAACCGCCCATAGAGTAGCCTCCTGGTAAGTAGCTCAAAACCACCCATAGAGTTAACTGTACTCAAAACCACCCATAGAGTTAACTGTGCTCAAAACCACCCATAGAGTTAACTTGTCCATAAATGCTCTCAATATAGTTAATTTAGAGTGTCTCAAAAGAAAACAGCTTATCCAATTGTTACTGCTCTGATTTTCAATTTTGCAGTCCAAACTTTATAAAAACTACATTTAACCTACTTTTTAAATCTGGTTCACATAGAGTCAGTATTATTGACTATTATTGACTAACAACATCTTATATTTTTTCTGTCAATAAACTTTAAGTGTAGCTCTGATGTAAAACAGAAAATATTTAAATTTGTTGTTGAATTACATATTGTATTTAAGATGAAAGTTAGAATGTCCAGAAAAAAACAGTTTTGCATGAATAGACAGTCGAGGAAAAAGAAAAAGTGTAATAAACAAGTTGTATTAACAGTATAAATGCAAAACCAAATATCAAGCAGGTTTACACAGTGTATGCTGTATAAAAAAACCATAGCATAAATATGATATTCGTCATCATTTGTACAATAGTAAGACTTTCCTGTTCATTTCTTTTGCTGACAAAATGTTTATTGACGATATGCGTCCATGTGTCTTAAGTTGTATAGGTGTTTTATTCTCCCTATAAATCAAGCATTTTAATGTTTTCAGGGTAAGTTCACCACTAAGAGTGACGTGTGGTCATTTGCCGTGACACTGTGGGAAGTGTTGACCTTCGCTAAGGACCAGCCGTTTGACAGTCTGACCGATGAGCAAGTGATTGAGAACGCTGGACACTATTACCGTAACGATAACAAGGAGGTTTACCTACCACAGCCTAATAACTGCCCCAAGGAGATCTTTGACCTCATGTACGAGTGTTGGAACAGGAATGAATGCTATCGCCCTTCCTACCGAGAAATTCACATGTTCTTGCAGAGGAAAAACATGGGTTACAACCCAAAAGATGAAATGATGAACCAGATCAGGGTGCCCATTTGTTGATCACAATAATTATTTTGAATATTACCGTTGTTCGTCAAGAATGTATATTAAATCTGGGTTTGTCATATGTTTTGAGGTTGTGACCCAGTAAAATTACTAGTCATTCAAACTTTCCGGTGAAACGGATTGATCATGTTTGGTGCAACATGGGAAATGTTGACTTCCTTTCAACGAAACCAAAGACAAACTTTGGTGATTGAGACAGATGGAGATTGGGCTGTCCCAGTCTTATAAAGAGGGGTGGCAGGTAAATTGACACTTGCTTTTAATGACAGGTGCTATGACCCTATCAACAATGGACCCTTCCTCGTGTCATGCATCACCGAAGTTGACACATCAGTTGCCATATATAGTCATACGAATGGAATTGTGATAAAGAATGCGTCAAGATGATCTGAATTACACACTAACTTCAGTGTGTTCATACTCACCTGTGTTGTGATAGTGAAGAAATCCATGGAGGGGAAACATGTATAGTATTATCATAATTGTCTTATTTATAATGTTTTGCCATAAAATTGACCTATTTCTGATGATACAGAAATAAATTCACACCTTTGTGCTCCGACAAACACTGTTTGTGTATCTCAGAACATTGCCTAATCCTAAAAGGGTAAGGGTTATCTGCCCTTGATCACCATCAGTTATCAACCAAGGTAGCATCGAGGAGGACTAAGAGTGCTGTTGTAGTAATCCGAGGAACAACATGGTGACAATTGTTCTCACTTGGATTATTATTTTTGAATAATTGTATTTAATTCCAGTCATTTACAAAGATGTTTAACCAACACCCATACATAAGCCTAGAAGTGTTCAGAACAGTTCTGACCTGGTTATCTCCCTTTGATTGTTATAGATTGTGTGTTGGAGTTCCTGGGAGGGGGAGCATTGATCAACTGTTTTAGTTGTGCCATTATTATGTGTATATGGAGAATATCATTGAGATAATAGCATTATCTCTATTTACAATAACGTTAGAAAAAATAAATTATAGGATATATATATATATATGATTCCGTTACTTCTGTGTAACTGGAAGCAATCATAGTGCTAAATTGCTATACATGTCCTAATTCCATATAATCAATGCCTTTGCATCTTTTGCATAAAGAAAAATATTAGTTTTTGTGGATATACATTTTGCTTCATGATTAATTTCATTTGTATTTAATTATTGCGGTTATGTCAAACAACTTCAGAAATGATAGGATTCCTGATAAGAAATATGTACTGATATATTTTCTCATAAGGTTTCCTTCAGAATTGGGTGGGAGTAAGATTACGTGAGTAAAGATTACGTATGTACATTTTGATTATTAAGATAAATTTTATCTTCTTTATGTTGTAAACTTCCTCCCTTGTTGTTAATAGCTTATGAAAGTAAATAATTATTTGTGAAAATTTAACAGGTGCAATATGTTTAACGTTATAGATGCCGACATTTTCATTATAAGTTGTTAAGATGCCATTGTAAAGTAAAATCACTTTTTTAAGAACTGTAAACCAGTAAACCACCGACCAAATAAGGTTATGACAATAACTACCTAGATACTGAGCTCTGTTTTATCTCTGCTTTTACTAGAGTCACCCCCTTGTCCAAAATACTTGTCCTTAAACTATTTAATGATGAAATGATCATGCTTTGTCATAATCATTGAGAAATAGTTTTTAAAATGAATGCTGTGAAGAATAAACCTGACATTTTAGAATGCTTTTCATTTTAATTTTGTCAGTTTGTTTTGAAAATTTGTTACAACAAATATTCAATGAAGTCTTGAGTTTGTGATTTTATCAATTAAATAAATATGAAAATAGTCTATACAGGTAATAATCTACCTGTAAAAAGCTCTTTTCATGAAACCTACATGAAGATGTGACCAAATACCAACGGAGCTTTGTACATAAAACCTTATTAGAGCTTAGGCCACTATTTTTGGTTTGTAATTTAGTGTAACAATTAAATCAAAGACTGTTTCATAGACAAAGTGATAGATTTATAATCTGTACCCTTCACTGTGGAGGTAAGTACAGAACATTGTGTACCCTTCTCTGTGAAGGTATGTACCGTATATAGTGTACCCTTCACTGTGGAGGTATGTACAGTATATATAGTGTACCCTTCACTGTGGAGGTAAGTACAGTATATAGTGTACCCTTCACTGTGGAGGTAAGTACAGAACATTATGTACCCTTCACTGTGGAGGTATGTACAGTATATTATGTACCCTTCACTGTGGAGGTATGTACAGTATATAATGTACCCTTCACTGTGGAGGTAAGTACAGTATGTAGTGTACCCTTTACTTTGGAGGTATGTACAGTATATTATGTACCCTTTACTGTGGAGGTATTTACAGAATATTATGTACTAGCCCATGTGGAGGTATGTACAGTATATTATGTACTAGCCCATGTGGAGGTTTGTACAGTATAGTATGTACCCTTCACTGTGGAGGTATGTACAGTATATTAGGTACCCTTTACTGTGGAGGTATGTACAGTATATTAGGTACCCTTCACTGTGGAGGTATGTACAGTATATTATGTTCCCTTTACTGTGGAGGTATGTACAGTATATTATGTACCCTTTACCTAGGAGGTATGTACAGTATATTATGTACTAGCCCATGTGGAGGTATGTACAGTATATAGTGTACTAGCCCATGTGGAGGTATGTACAGTATATAGTGTACTATCCCATGTGGAGGTAGTTTTACTATATGTAGTTGCTAGCCTAAACCCTTGTCATGTCAGCCCTTTTTATGTGATGACACTTGTTTGGATTAGTTTCAGTTTTTTCACAGGTTTTGATTAAATTATATATATGTTTTCAAGGTAGTTATGTACAGTGATTTCCAAAATTGTTCAGTGAGTGTGAAATCTTACAGGCTTTTTAGTGCCGAGAACTGTTACAATAACAGTAGGAACTGTTACAATAACATGTTACAATAACAATAGGAACTGTTACAATAACAGTAGGAACTGTTACAATAACATGTTACAATAACAATAGGAACTGTTACAATAACAGTAGGAACTGTTACAATAACAGTAGGAACTGCATTGATGCATTCGTATATGTATGTGAACATTTATAATAACACTTAACAATTTTGGAATATTTTTGCAATTAACATAGACTTTTATAAAAAAAATATATATATATAAAAAACAAAAATGTGTAATGTGTATTCAGGGTTTAATAACTCCACCATTGCATGTATGATTATTTACATATATACTGATATGTTACGATTGATTTGGCAAGTTTAAAAACACCATTACATTATAAATTGGATGGATGAAGGCTTTATATTGCTTTTTAGACATCAGATACCAAAAAAGGTGATACAATGTTTTATTCATAATTTTAGCATATCACATATATATGAAAATAAGAATTTATGCAAATTAATGAGTTTATCGAAATCTTTGGGTTGTGACTTTAATTGAAACTAAATATATGACTTATATCCACCAAAGATTGAAACCATGATGGAACACTAGTTCACTAATTAACTATTACATTGATACATGTATGTAGATCTATATAAACCAACAAAACATCTCATTTCAGATTTTCCCATGTCTTATCTTCAGTGATGTTCATAAAAAATGAAACAAAATATAGAACAAAATTCAACTCAAAACATAAAAATAAAACATTCACTGGAAAAAGTGTGACATCCTTTTTAGGCAAGTGTTCCAAAATGTCTGGTAAGTTAAAAATATTGTGTTCCATGATGGATTTGATCTGGTATCAAGTCTTACTCAATATCAACATGACCTTGAGAGGTCGGATGTGATTGGGGTTATATTTTTATACAATGGCAATCGCGTGTGCATGAGCTTGTAAATGAGAGATGTACAAAAAAGTTTACCAAATTTGCATTTATTTTGCCTTTTTACACAGCAAGCAGAACAACTGCATTCATCTAGCTTTGTACAGTAGTAAGATAGGAAGCTGTACACGAATATCTAATATATATAGAAATAGCTAGAGACAAATGGTATTAAAAACAACCGTGATTTAATCATGTACATAACAATTTGTGAAATTTGTCCAAGCTTTGTTTTTTTAATGAATCACCCTTTGTGTACCCCACTGTTTTGGCTTGTTAGAGGCCCTGCCCACCAGATCTTTGTCTTGATTGGACACTGGGATGGGGCACCAAGAGGAAGTGCTTATCAATGACAACAGGGTGACACTTTTTATTATTTATATCTCATGATGTAGATGTGTTCTAGATATGTTTTAAATCATGTTTCTATATTTATGTCATTCCAGTTGACTGTCATCATGACGTCATTGAGTCAGTGAAAATCAGAGCCATATTATTATGTCATTCATTATTGCAAATATCCAAGTCTTTTGGAAATGTCATTTTGTTTGTCGTGTATGTTTACTTAACCAAAACTTAACTCAGGCCAAGTGCAGGTGCTTATAATAAAACATAAACAATTGTATTGACTTACATAGCCTCACAACATTGTACAAGCTACACGTTAAGGTGGTCACATAAACTCAACGAATGATAAATAATTTATTGACCAATCTAAACTGTACCAATCTAAACTGTACCAATCTTAAACTGTACCAATCTTAACTGTTCCAATCTTAAACTGTACCAATCTTAACTGTACCAATCTTAAACTGTACCAATCTAAACTGTACCAATCTAAACTGTACCAATCTTAAACTGTATCAATCTTAACTGTACCAATCTCCAGAATCTTGCATTAAGTTTTGAAAACAAGGTCAAAATTTAAAATGTGTGAGAATCAAATGTATAGGTCTTTAATGAAACATTTAATGGCTTCTCAGAAAAAAACTTTATTTAACTGATCTTTGAATTCCAAATTTGATATGGATATTATTGAAATAGGAACAAATTAAAGGGTTTGATACTCCTTTTGACCCAGGTAACATCACACATTCTGTACTTGTCTGAGGTAGCGACACACACATTCTGTACTTGTCTGAGGTAGCGACACACACATTCTGTACTTGTCTGAGGTAGCGACACACACATTCTGTACTTGTCTGAGGTAGCGACACACACATTCTGTACTTGTCTGAGGTAGCGACACACACATTCTGTACTTGTCTGAGGTAGCGACACACACATTCTGTACTTGTCTGAGGTAGCGACACACACATTCTGTACTTGTCTGAGGTAGCGACACACATTGTGTACTTGTCTGAGGTAGCGACACACACATTCTCTACTTGTCCGAGGTAGCGACACACACATTGTGTACTTGTCTGAGATAGCGACACACACATTCTCTACTTGTACGAGGTAGGGACACACATTGTGTACTTGTCTGAGGTAGCGACACGCACATTCTGTATTTGACCTAGGTAACACTACACATTCTGTATTTGACCTAGGTAACACCACACAATTTGTACCTGACCCAGGTAATGACACACACATTCTGTACTTGTCTGAGGTACCAACACACACATTCCGTACTTGTCTGAGGTAGCGACACACATTCTGTACTTGTCCCAGGTAACGACACACACATTCTGTATTTGACCTAGCTGGTAACACTACACAAAACCAGAAAAAATAAATTATAGGATACCACACAATTTGTACCTGACCCAGGTAACGACACACACATTCTGTACTTGTCCCAGGTAATGACACACACATTCTGTACTTGTCCCAGGTAACGACACACACATTCTGTATTTGACCTAGATAACACTACACATTCTGTCTATATTTGATCTAGATAACACCACACAATTTGTACCTGACCCAGGTAACGACACACACATTCTGTACTTGTCCCAGGTAATGACACACACATTCTGTACTTGTCCCAGGTAACGACACACACATTCTGTACTTGTCTGAGGTAGCGACACACACATTCTGTATTTGTCTGAGGTACCAACGCACACATTCTGTACTTGTCTGAGGTAGCGACACACACATTCTGTATTTGTCTGAGGTACCAACACACACATTCTGTACTTGTCTGAGGTAGCGACACACATTCTGTACTTGTCTGAGGTACCGACACACACATTCTGTATTTGACCTAGATAACACTACACATTCTGTCTGTATTTGACCTAGGTAACACCACACAATTTGTACCTGACCCAGGTAATGACACGCACATTCTGTATTTGTCTGAGGTACCAACACACACATTCTGTACTTGTCTGAGGTACCGACACACACATTCTGGACTTGTCTGAGGTACCGACACACACATTCTGAACTTGTGTGAGGTACCAACACACACATTCTGTACTTGTCTGAGGTAGCGACACACACATTCTGTATTTGTCTGAGGTACCAACACACACATTCTGTTCTTGTCTGAGGTAGCGACACACATTCTGTACTTGTCCCAGGTAACGACACACACATTCTGTATTTGACCTAGATAACACGACACATTCTGTCTGTATTTGACCTAGGTAACACCACACAATTTGTACCTGCCCCAGGTAATGACACGCACATTCTGTATTTGTCTGAGGTACCAACACACCCATTCTGTACTTGTCTGAGGTACCGACACACACATTCTGTACTTGTCTGAAGTACCGACACACACATTCTGTACTTGTCTGAGATACCGACACACACATTCTGTACTTGTCTGAGGTACCGACACACACATTCTGTACTTGTCTGAGGTACCGACGTACTTGTCCCAGGTAACGACACACACATTCTGTATTTGACCTAGATAACACTACACATTCTGTCTGTATTTGACCTAGGTAACACCACACAATTTGTACCTGACCCAGGTAATGACACGCACATTCTGTATTTGTCTGAGGTACCAACACACACATTCTGTACTTGTCTGAGATCCCAACCCACCCATTCTGTACCCGCCAGTCATCTATCATTCCTTAAGACTTGGATATTATCCTCATTATACCTGTTGTTTTTGTCATATTCTCGTCATTTTACATTAAAATCAACAGATACATAGAAGTGTCAAGGAATTAATTGGCTATTGCATTTTTCATTTCAGGAACAGTTGTCATTTTTACTTTTTAAATCATTATTTTAAATTCGATTTTCGAAATCCCAACGTTCATGAATGTCTAAAATAACACAGAAGATTGAAATTGATTAAGAGACTATGATCAAATATCTTTGTAACATTTGCAAATAAGCATTGATAATCCTTTGAAATTTTTTGACACTCTTTCATTTTGAATTTTTAGCCATCATCAATAATGTACTAGTAAAGAGATCTAACTGTTTAGTAAGGGAAGTGGTGTACACTCTGATGTTGATATCAGTAGAGTTCATGAGGCACAAGGTCATTCAGTTCTGACGGAAATGAATCACATGCTGTGCATTCTAGATCCTGATTGGCTGATTTGAACTTAGGTATAAATGTGAGTTAGTGATTGGTTGAGTACTGTGGATGTAATTTTTATTTAGTACATATGTTCCTTTGTTATTGTGTTACTAGGCGACCGACATGCAATACATCATTTCTTGCTTATGACTGAGTCAATTAGGTTGTATTGTTTGTAAATAAAATCACAAATCATTTACACTATTTCTCTTCTTGTTATTGACTAGAAATCATGTTGAAATTATTACTAAGTATACCCCAGAATCAAAGGACATTACAATCAGTCACTCTACACTAAGTATACCCCAGAATCTAGAGACATTACAATCAGTCACTCTACACTAAGTATACCCCAGAATCCAGAGACATTACAATCATTACAATAGACATAATAACCAGTCTAAATGTCTCCACGTTACAAAGATTTAGGCCTAGTGTGTTAAGACTATAAACAATATTATTTTTGTGTTACATCATTGATGAGAGTAAATTTGAGACAAGGGCTTGGATATTCTTTACAGTCTTCCAAATCTGATGAATACTATGTACTGTTTTAGTTTATAACAGTCTTCCAAGCTATACTTGTGTCTGCCGAACATCTGCCCAGGTCAAATACATACATGTATACAGACCTTCAGTATATGATCGAAGCTGTTTGCACCAAGCCGTGTCCAGGACTAATCTGACATGTGATGATGACAGCAACTCGCCGGTTGTTTTAACAAGGAACCGGTCACCTTTCGCTCAACATAAAGAAATTACATGACACATGTATATCTGTGTACACACTATTAAATTAAGTTTCACATGCAATGAAAGCCGAGTAAATGTGACCAACGATTTACTCTGCTTGAGAGCGAGCGGCCATTCCGCAGAGCCTGTGAACAGATTGTGCAACTGAATTACAAGCTTGATGAGGTGCAGTCTCGTTACCTCACCTCCATGAGAGACGGACTACAATCTTTGACTGTAGTTGTAGCAGAAGGATCGTAGTCCGTCTCTCATGGAGGTGAGGTAACGGGACTGCACCTCATCACAAAAAATGTACATGTACTACAGAAATGGTGAACAGAAGGCTGACGACATATCAGGAATAAGTAAGGCGAATTTTAAGACATTGATTCAGGATCAATAGGTGAAGATGAAGTCTGGGATGCAGTCTTTAATCCTATCAAGTCAACACTTAGTCTTGTCTGGTTGTACCTCTATCCAGCCACCACTAATCTGTTTGTCCCACTATCCAGCCACCACTGATCTGGTTGTCCCACTATCCTGCCACCACTAATCTGGTTGTCCCACTATCCAGCCACCACTAATCTGTTTGTCTCAATATCCAGCCACCACTAATCTGGTTGTCCCACTATCAAGTCATCACTAGTCTGGTTGTCCCACTATCCTGCCACCACTAATCTGGTTGTCCCACTATCCAACCACCACTAATCTGGTTGTCCCACTATCAAGTCATCACTAGTCTGGTTGTCCCACTATTCCGCCACCACTTATCTGATTGCCCCACTATCCCGCCATCATTAGTCTGATTGCCCCACTATCCTGCCATCATTAATCCTGTTGTCCCACTATCCAGCCACCACTAATCTGGTTGCCCCACTATCCTGCCATCATTAGTCTGGTTGTCCCACTATCTAGCCACCACTTATCTGATTGCCCCACTACCCTGCCATCATTAGTCTGGTTGTCCCACTATCTAGCCACCACTTATCTGATTGTCCCATTACCAAGCCACCTATAGTCTGGTTGTCCCACTATCCAGCCACCACTAAACTGGTTGTCCCACTTTTCAGTCACCTCTAATCTGATTGCCCCACTATCCAGCCACCACTTATCTGATTGTCCCACTATCCCGCCATCATTAGTCTGGGTGTCCAACTATCCAGCCACCACTAATCTGGCTGTCCCACTATCCCGACATCATTAGTCATGTTGTCCCACTATCCTGCCACCACTAATCTAGTTGTCCCACTATCCCGCCATCATTAGTCTGGGTGTCCAACTATCCAGCCACCACTAATCTGGCTGTCCCCCTATCCCGACATCATTAGTCTGGTTGTCCAACTACCCAGCCACCACTAATCTGGCTGTCCCACTATCCCGACATCATTAGTCTGGGTGTCCAACTATCCTGCAATCACTAGTCTGGTTGTCCCACTATCCCGCCATCATTTATCTGGTTGTCCCACTATCCCACCATCACTAAACTGATTGCCTCGTTATCCAGCCACCTATAGTCTAGTTGACCAACTATCAACCCATCACTAATCTGATTGCCCCACTATCCAGCCACCTATAGTCTGGTTGTTCCATTATCAAGCCATCACTAATCTTGCTGTCCCATTATCCAACTACCACTAATCTGGTTGTCCCACTATCCAGCTACCACTAATCTGGTTGTCCCACTAATCTTGTTGTCCCACTATTAAGTCACCACTAAACAAGTTGTCCCACTATCCAGCCACCATTAATCTGGTTGTCCCACTTTTCAGCCACCACGAATCTGGTTGTCATAATATCTAGCAACAACTAATCCGATTGTCCCACTATATAGCTATCCAGCCACCACTAATCTGGTTGTCATAATATTCAGCCACCACTAACTGATTACTTCACTATCCAGCCACCACTAGTCGGGTTGTGGTTGTCCCAATATCAAGCCACCACTGATCTAGTTGTGCCACTATCCAGTCACCCCCTAATCTGATTGTCCCACTATCTAGTCACCACTAATCTGGTTGTCATAATATTCATCCACCACTAACAGATTGCCCCACTATCCAGCCACCACAAGTCTGGTTGTCCCAATATCAAGCCACCACTAATCTGGTTGTCCCATTATCCAACAACCACTTATATTTTTGTTCTACTATTCAGCTATCACTAGTTTGGTTTTTCCCCTATCAAGCCACTTCTAAACTGGTTGTCCCACTATCCAGTCACCACTAGTCTAGTAGTCCCACTATCCAGTCATCCCTAATCTGGTTGTCCCACTATCCAGCCACCACTAATCTGGTTGTCCCAATATCCAATCACCCCTAATCTGGTTGTCCCACTATCCAGCCACCACTAGTCTGGTTGTCCCACCATCCAGTCACCACTAGTCTGGTTGTCCCAATATCCAATCACCCCTAATCTGGTTGTCCCACTATCCAGCCACCACTAATCTGGTTGTCCCACTATTACAATCACTACTAATATGTTTGCCCTTATATCCAGCCACCACTAGTCTGGCTGTCCCACTATCCAGCCACCACTAATCTGGTTGTCTCACTATTAAACCACCACTTCTCTTATTGTTGTCCCAATATCAAGCCATCACTTATCTATTTGTCATTTATCAAGCCACCATTAATCTGGTTGTCCCACTTTCAGCCACCACTAGTCTGTTTGTCCCACTATCTAGCTGCCACTTATCTGATTGTCGCACTATCCAGCCACCACTTCTCTTCTGATTGTCCCAATATCAAGCCACAATTTATCTTATTGTCCTGCTATCCAGCCACCATTAATCTGGTTGTCCCAATTTTCAGTCACCTCTAATCTGATTGCCCCACTATCCAGCCACCACTTATCTGATTGTCCCACTATCCAGCCACCACTTCTCTTCTGATTGTCCTAATATCAGGCCACAATTTATCTTATTGTCCTGCTATCCAGCCACCATTAATCTGGTTGTCGCACTTTTCAGCCACCACGAATCTGGCTGTCATAATAATCAGCAACAACTAATCCGATTGTCCCACTATATAGCTATCCAGCCCCCACTAATCTGGTTGTCCCAATATCAAGCCACCACTAATCTGGTTGTCCCATTATCAAACAACCACTTATCTTTTTGTTCTACTATTCAGCTATCACTAGTTTGGTTTTTCCACTATCAAGCTACTTCTAAACTGGTTGTCCCACTATCCAGCCACCACTAGTCTGGTTGTCCCACTATCCAGTCACCCCTAATCTGGTTGTCCCACTATCCAGCCACCACTAATCTGGTTGTCCCACTATTACAATCACCACTAATCTGGCTGTCCCACAATCCATCCACCACTAGTCTGGCTGTCCCACTATCCAGCCACCACTAATCTGGTTGTCTCACTATCAAGCCACCACTTCTCTTATGGTTGTCCCAATATCAAGCCATCACTTATCTAGTTGTCATTTAACAAGCCACCATTAATCTGGTTATCCCACTTTTCAGCCACCACTAGTCTGGTTGGCATAATATCCAGCCACCACTAATCTGGTTGTCCCACTATCCAGCCACCACTAATCTGGTTGTCCCACTATCCTGTCATCCCTAATCTGGTAGGCCCACTATCCAGTCACCCCTAATCTGGTTGTCTCCCTATCAAGCCACCACTTCTCTTGTGGTTGTCCTAATATCAAGCCATCACTTATCTAGTTGTCATTTAACAAGCCACCATTAATCTGGTTGTCCCAATTTTCAGTCACCTCTAATCTGATTGCCCCACTATCCCACTAGTTTGGTTTTTCCACTATCAAGCCTCTGGTAGTCCCACTATCCAGTCAGCCCTAATCTGGTTGTCGCACTATCCTGTCACCCGTAATCTGGTAGTCCCACTAGCCAGCCACCCCTAATCTGGTTGTCCCTCTAGCCAGTCACCCCTAATCTGGTTGTCGCACTATCAGGTCATCCCTAATCTGGTAGTCCCCTAATCTGATTGCCCCACTACTAGTCTGGTTGTCCCACTAATGTCCCATTATCCAACAACCACTTATCTTTTTGTTCTACTATTCAGCTATCACTAGTTTGGTTTTTCCACTATCAAGCCTCTGGTAGTCCCACTATCCAGTCAGCCCTAATCTGGTTGTCGCACTATCAGGTCATCCCTAATCTGGTAGTCCCCTAATCTGATTGCCCCACTATCCCACTAGTTTGGTTTTTCCACTATCAAGCCTCTGGTAGTCCCACTATCCAGCCACCATTAATCTGGTTGTCCCACTATCCCCACTAATCTGGTTGTCACACCTAATCTGATTGTCCCACTATCTAGCCACCACTAATCTGGTAGTCCCACTATCCAGTCACCACTAATCTGGTTGTCCCACTAGTCTGGTTGTCCCACTATCCAGTCACCACTAATCTGGTTGTCACACTATCCAGCAACCACTAATCTGGCTGTCCCACTATCCAGTCACCCCTAATCTGGTTGTCGCACTATCATGTCATC